CGAAAAGAAGGCTGGTAGAACACAAGTGGATTTTTCATTATAGGAGGGAAGATCAAATGACATAATGTCAGTATTTTCCTGCTTGTCAAATTCATGAGCTGAGTAAAATGCTTGGAATGTCCAGATTTTTGGTCTTGATTCTGCCACTAATTGGTAGACTTCCAAAGAAGGTTAAGTTAATCTTCCTGGGCTTACTTTACTCATGCGTAATAAAATACTTCATGGTATCACCAGCAATAGAATACAACTATGATGACATTCCATGAAGTAGTATTTTAACAGTTCTAACGTAGTTCTCTTTGTGGAACAGATTTCTAAGTGCTTGGTTTTAAGTTACATGATAGGCTAGAGGTGCCCTATTCCTTCATTATGAGCAGGTGCTGTCTTTTGGGATACTTATTTGAGATATTAATACTTTGTTACTCAATTGTCAATGTCCTCTGGTGTGTATTTTTATACTTAGGATAAGAGGAGGCCTACAGTGGGAAGAGGAGTCTATACTACCTCTTAACCTACATGGAGTAAGTCAAATTTTTGTTGAAAAATTTTATAATGTAGTTTTTAGCTTTGTTTTTGTGCTCTAAAAGTACTGACTCTTAAGCACAGATACAGCAAAGTAGGCCAGTAGAATAAATCACCTCCAGGAAGCCAGCTCTGTTTGGGTTTTGATCTTTTTCCCTCCACCCATACCAATAGGCTTAACTTTTTCCCAGGGAATACACATTTTGCCTTTTTTTTGGGGGGGGGTTACATTTATCTATTCTTGGCCATGTAAAAGCAATAAAGCTGTTTTGTGTTCTTCATCTTTCTGAACCCTGAATTTTCTTCTATACATCAGGATAAGGCTTTGATGGTTCTTCTGACCTTTAACTTGGCTGAAGGTGGCTCTTCAAAGCCTATATCTCCCACTTCCACTAGAAGCCTTGGAAAACATTTGTTTGTAGTGTTCCTTCAAATCAGAGATCTCTATGTTAAATCCAAAAACAGGATATTAAAAGAAAAAGAGTTTGAGAATTCATTTATTGAATAACTGCTGTGTTATAGCTGGGAATTTTTGAATTCCAAGTAAATAGATTAAATATTTTGGAAAACAAAGCAAAACAAAACAAATATTAGTGGACATGGAAAAATCATATAAGCATTAATACAGTTGTAATGGGGGACCTCAATACTCCACTGTCACAAACAGACAGATCAACTAGACAAAAAAATCACCAAAGAACTATTAGAATTGAACCAAATGTTTGCAAATGGACTTAAGATGTCTACAGAGTGTTGCAGTCTACAACATCAGAATACACATACTTCTCAGCTGCACATAGCATGTTCTCCAAAACAGACTCTATACTAGCTCATAGAACATGCATGACTTAAAATTATCTCATGCATATTATCAGTGAAATTGGATATCAAAAGCAAAAGAATCCACAAGAACTTCATAAACACAAGGAGATTAAATAACACCCTCCTGAACAACCAATGGGTCACAGATGAAATTAAAGAAAAAATAAGATAATTTCTACAATTAAACAATAACGACAGCTCAACATACTGGAACTTACGGGACACAATGAAAGTAGTCCTACGAGGGAAATTTATAGTGGTGAATTCTCACACTGGGAAAAGAATGGGCTCAAAAAAACAACCTAATGTTGAAACTTCTAGAAAAAGAAGAGCAAGTCAAGCCCAAAGTTCATACGAGGGAGGAAATTATAAAGATCCGAGCAGAAATTAATGCAATTGAGACTAGAAAGCAATACAAAGAATCAAAGAATTGAAGAGTTGGTTGCTTGAAAGATTAAACAAAATTAACAAATCCTTAGCCAACCTTTTCAAAAAAAGGAAAGACTCAAATTCACGCAATTAGGAATGAAGAGGTGAAATCACAACAGATCCTGCAGAAATCCAGAAGATCATCAATACCTACTTTGAGAACCTGCATTCTAATGAACAGAGAACATGTTTCTCAGCAGTTAAAGACAAACTTACTGGTGGAAAAGTTTTCGCCCATTCTCTCCACATGTCCTGACATTATCTACCTACTTTGAGAACCTGCATTCTAATGAACAGAGAACATGTTTCTCAGCAGTTAAAGACAAACTTACTGGTGGAAAAGTTTTCGCCCATTCTCTCCACATGTCCTGACACTTCCTCTCAAGCATCTCAGGAATACTCTTTGTTCTCAGGTTTACTACTTCTATCTCCCCGCCAAATGTAAACGGGATGTGGCTCTGTGCACTGAGCTTGCTGTCTGTAATATCTGATAACTGGTGAATTTGCTGGGCCCAATGACTTGTACTCTATACAACCAATGGAAAGTGCTTAACTCCTGCAAGCCCACCCCCTCCAGAGAGTTTAACCTGCCCTGCTCAACCCTCAAAGAGGATCAGACCCTGTGGAGAAATCCCACACTGACCCACCGGCGTTAAAAATAAAAATGTACACTTGCCTTCAAAACTTCTGGGTGTGTCTCCCATTCTCCGGGACTACCTGTCTGTATGTTCTGGCTGGCACTCTGCTGCTACATTAATAAGATGGAAAATACAGAAAAAAAATGCACAGATTCCTAGATACATATAAATTACCAAAACTAAATCAAGAAGATATAGAGATTCTAAATAAACTAATTTCAGCCAATGAAATTGAATATGTAATTAAAAACCTACCAACAAAGAAAAGCCCTGGCCCTGGTGGATACACTGCTGAATTCCGTAACAAATTTAGAGATACCTACTGCCACTACTGCTCAGCATGTTAATGAAAGTGAAAGGGAAACAATACTACCAAATTCATTCCTGGAAGCAAGCATTACCCTGGATTCCAAAACCAGAGAAGGATCCAACCAAAAAAGGAGAGTTACAGGCCAATCTCCCTAATGCACAGACGCAAAAATCCTCAGGAAGATACTGGCAAACAGAATGCAGCAAATCATCAAGGTTATATATATCATGAGCAAGCGGGACTCATCCCAGTGATGCAGGGATGGTTCAACATATGCAAATCAATATACGTAATACACTATATTAACAAAGCCAAGGACAAAAACCATATGATCATCTCACAAGGTTCAATATCCATGCACAATTAAAAAAAAAACTCTGCAGAAAATTGATATAGGTGGTCTTTATCTCAACCTCATAAAAGCCATCGATGACGAACCAACAGCCAACATCTCTACAACTGAACCACGTTCAAGTCATCCATATGTTTTTTTTCTATTTTTTTGGGCACTAGGGATCGAACTCTGGTTTTTGTGCTTGTGAGGCAGGCAGTGGAACAAACGAGCTAAAATCCCCAGCCTTATCCATGTGTTTTTGATACTGACCTCTTTTTTTTTTTTTTTTTTTGTACCAGGGATCAAACTAACGACCTTGCACTTGCGAGGCAGGCGATGGTGGCACTGAGCTAAACTCCCAGCCCTCAACCTCCTTCTTACATGATCTCTTGTTTCAAATATGAGTCATAAAGTGAATTTTGAAATATTTAAAATTAGGTGACAATTTAAGAATATTATCAAAATTTGAAATAAAATACTTCACTTGCATTAATAAAACGGAAATCAGTAATCTGAGAAATATGAACAAGACGGAATAGTCAGGTATAACAGCAAAACTCACTGTGCAAATGAGAAATATTTGCAAAGACCATTGTTATTTGAATTCTGACAGTCACTATGCGGCACACGCTGGCCATTCAATTTTGATCCTGGTGATCCGCCTCTGGATGCTGGGATTGCATGAGCGTACCTCTGCACCCAGCTCACCAAGGATATTTAAAGTTAAGAGGTATAATTAAATTATCATTTAATGAACTTTGGATAGTAGATATAAACTCTTAGTAATATGTAAAATTTCAAACACGGTACATGAATAAGAGGGACCGTGGAGAATCCAACAAGTTGGCAAACAACTCAAGTGGTGAACAAAATCTTCCTGTCATAAATCCATCTCCAAATGGGATATAGGTGCTTCCGTGAAACTTTAAGATACAGAGCAAGATGAGATGTGTATATACAGCAATTCCCCATGATGAGTATATTTGTTCTGAATATAAAACACACACTAATGCAACCATTATACTAAAAAAAAAAAAAAAAAAAAGGAACGCTCAGCTAGACAAGGTCTCTCGTGTCTAATAAAAAAGGGCGTAGGTGAGCCTGGAATGGTGGTACATTCCTGTAATCCCAGCCCTCGGCAATCGGAGGCAGGAGAAAGGCCCTGAGTTCAAGGCTAGCCTGGGTTACATAGTGAGATCCTGCATACCTACATACATACATACCTAGGAAATCTCTGCAGAAATTTCATCAAGTTAGAGTGATCTTTACCTGAAATCCGACCACATGTTTACAAGAAAAGGCTGTAACCTCTATGCATGCAGAATTTCAAAGCCAGGAGAAAACACTAAACAGTAAATTACAAGGGTCAACTAGAAAATAGCTTCTCTTGAGGCTGAGCAAGGAGGATCCTTATGAGTGCAAAGCCAGCCTGGGCTACACAGTGAATTCTAGGCCAGGCTGGATGGCATGGCAGAACTCTCAAAAAACAAAGAAAACGGATTAGACTACCTGATGTGCAGTAATACAAATTTATCTAAATTTTACTAAATCTCCTCCTTTCTTAATGCCTTTGATGTCTGAGATTGAGCCAGCACACAAGTCCTTCATTCCCACATTACAAAAATATCTAACCTCAGCGGAAGACCCCTTGTTGTCGGCATGGATTTTACCACCATCAACCATCTCCTCCTCTCTCTTTCTTTCTCCTCCCACTTTGCTGCTCCCAGCAAGAAAAAGTCCTTTCTCACTAAGCACTCCTATGGCTGCAGAGCTCAGGTTTCAGGGTTTGCTCCTATTACAATCTTCCTTTAAGATAAAGTCCACCTCAATCAGCATTTCAATTCTTAAAATAGTGCCTACGCTACTATTAAAGTGTCTACCATACAACTGCCCATAACAGTTTGAGGTGCTACTGCTCTCCCCTTCCACTCCGACACAATCTTACGTCCGTGTAGCTGCCCGAGTCTGATGATGCTCACAGCGTTAACAGGCAGCTCCTTCCGGAAGGGGTCCCTTGGCAGCCTCACTTTCTCCTGCCTTGCTCAGCTGCATCTGTAACACAGGAGTTCACTGCATGCTCGGTAAACACTCTACCACCGCCTCACACTGCCAAACTATCGAATGTTTCTGATCTTTTCTTCAGTTTTTGTTTTGTTTTTTCGTTATTCGTTTGACTCAGGGTCTCACTATATACTTCAGGCTGGCCTTCATCTCACAGGTAGCCCAGGGTGGACTCCAACTCGCAGCGATCTTCCTGCCTCAGCCTCCCGATCGCCGGGATCACCGGTGTCCACCAGCACCATGAGGCCCGGTGATCCTTTCTCTCAGTCCTCACAGCGTTAAACATAACATATCCTGAGTCTTGTGGGCACGTTTGGAGCGGCGCGGCCTGAGGAGCTAAAGCCGGGCTGAGGCCGTGCACCCCGGACCTTTAAGGAACGGAGGTCCTGCAGGTCTGCCAAGCCCAAGGGACACCAGGGACCCGCACACCGCGGCCCCTACCGAGTCCCGGCCGGCACCGGGATGGCCCACACCCCGGCTCCGG